AACAAATTAATATTTTTTTCAAAACCGCCGATAATTATTTAAGTATTTACAATACTATAATATACATACTATAGCATGCCATATAATAACGTATAATAAATAAGTACACAATATCGGACAGCATCACGTACGTTGCTCCGATCTGAAAATAAGTAACTAAAGCACTTATGTTATGGAAATCGGAAACAATGGCGGTACCACAAACGTACAGACCCGTGACATTATATAAAAGTTTGTTTACTGCATTGAATCGGCTAGTGTCGAACTTGTGATGTCAGAGACGGCAACATCATATAAACCGATGTGCAAACCACTCGACACAAAAACTAAACAATTAATAATTACGATGAAAATTTAACAAGAAATTAAGCTATCAACGTTTTCCTGAAGGAAACAGTTAACGGGCTAGCCTTTTTATGGGAAGCCTGTCCTACAACTGCACTATACGAAAAGAAAAAAATAAAAAAATAAATTTGTATTATAGCCGGGACGAATGTCCACTTGCACTAAGCTTATACGTGTACGTGTTAAAACAATGCTTAAATATTATCAGTTTGCCCTTTAGCAACATCCCCTCAACACAATGATTAAACGCATTGAGTAGAGTTCTGGAAGACGACCCTTAGAGTTTGTTTTGCGTTACAAGCTTTGGCTTTAAGTCTAGTTTAGGCGTATTTAATTTTAGTGCAAGTGGATATTAGTAATAAGCGCCTAGAGCGACAATATCGTGACATAAAACTGAAAACAAATACGTATACAATATACAGGGCGCCTTATTTGTAAAATACTAACAAACTCATAGAACTATTTTACTGACATCATGTACAACAATTTTTGTTCCATGACTTAATAATTCATCAGATTTTAGGAAATAAAAATATTTAAATAGATCGCTCTAAACGGTAATAACTCTGTACGGTAGCAAAAGAAAGCACTCGATATCAAAATTTTATTTATTTATGTATGACAAGCACGCTACAACTTATTACCAAATACAGATCTAAAAAGCGTCAGATAGAACAACAAGCACTTAAAAGTTTATTTTTATATATTTTGTAAAAAGTCAAGGAACAATAGTTATTGTTTATTGTTAGTAATATAGTCCCGAGAAGTTGTTAGTATTTTACAAATAACCCTGAATAATTTTTCAATATTCAATCCTTATTCTAAATAACTACCGTCCAAAAAAAATAGGTCGACTGTATCAAAGAGACCGGAAGGAATTAATCGGTATCTCTGAATTGTGAATTTTGCCAACTAAACCATTAATTAATTAGCCCTCTCAAAATGGCTAAATCAAACAGATAACTTGCGAACTCAAATACGACTCAGATTCAAATAGTCGATATAAATCCAGTCAATTGTTTGAGACACAAAGACAGCCAATTAGAAAGCTTCGGTATAAATTTAAATGAGAGACTGAGAGCCAACTCCACTGTTAAAATTTTCATAAGATTTTGGTGTTTGTTTACATGATCCCTGATGATGGTCCTTGATGTTGTATAATTTCAATAGATTCTTGTGAAAGCGTTACTGCGTTTCGTTCTGAAGGATAAGGACGCTGGTGTAATTATAGGCACATGAGACTTGTCACTTGTCAAATTATGGCTCAGTCTTCGTTCACACGGCATTATCCTGCACGCTTTGTAATACGTAAGTACGTATTCGATTATAAATGGATACAGAGCGGAGTTTAAATCCACACTTTGTTGCATTTTTATATTGATATAGAAGACGCCAACGGCTTCGCCGTCGGAACAACAAACGGAAAATATTGGGTTCATCCAATGAATCAAGAAGCAGTATGTAAAAACACATTTGAAAAATTGTACGAAAATCTAAGAAATGATAAAAAACAGGCCTTTGTTCCACTAAAGATATCAATAAATCGATGTCCACAGAAGATTCGCCGGTCATTTTATATTAATAAAATATATATATACATATATATAATGCATGCCGTCCTTCCAAAAGGTACTTCCATACTAGATGCCTAATATAATACGCCACTGTTTATTCGGTAAGATTTATACTACAAAAAAACGTTCAGTGCGATGCAGTGTGAACGGGGGGGTCAGGCAGTAGCAATACCCCTCAGATCTTTGCGATGGACTTTAGGCTCTGACGTCCACTTTGTGTTAAGAATGTCTTATTAATTTAAGCATTAGTTTAAGACGTATTTAAATTTAGTGCAGGTGGACATGAGTGGCATTGCAATTGTCGTGGATAGGCGTGTCGCTTGCCACTAGGCGCTGGACTAGTTCATACCATCGCTTGACATCATAAAAAAAATAGAAGACAATTTGCTTATTATCTTGTACCGCAATTTTCGTTCCTCGGCGTAAACAACTAGTTCTAGGATCTCTAATAGCACTTGAGGGAAATTTCTTAAGCAGATTGCAACCAAAAGGAGCGAAAATGTTTTATTTTTGGAGATCGTTACTCATGACACTATACAATTTGCAAAAAATTAAAATTTATCTCTTAAAGTTGTTTGTTATCCATCAGTACTTATAACCAACCGAAGCACAGTCATCAACTATATTATAGAACCAAAGCAATCTCCGTAGTGGCAAAAACACTTCTTTGATATTACCTCTGAACGATACTTTAGAAAAAGTTATTATTTGGATATCTGAATATGAAAACAGTTTAGTAGCAGTAGAACTCCTTGCGAAAGAGTTCTTCCCGGGAAGTACTCTTTCTTGCCACCTTGCCTATTTCTGCCGCAAAGCAGTAATGTGTCATTACTGCGTTGTGGTCTTAAGGGTGCTGTTGAAATTACAGACACATGGGACTTATGACTTACAAATCCTTTCACTTAGTGTGTATTAATAATGTGCAAGCACCATGTCATAGATACGATAAGAAGAAAATCTAAAAAAATAGTTTCATTGTCTATGTTTTCTTTACATAAATATATTGAACCTACAAAGTGACCAACGAAATAATAGGTGAAATTAAAGTTCTCGTATTATCGCATATGGATTACAAAATCATCTACAATATAGTTTTTTTTATATATCAAGTGACTGCCTGTCCATAACAGTTGCAGTGCTACTCAGAGCCTTAAATCGCAAAGATCTGAGATGCACCGCCACAGCGCCCGTCACCCTGAGACATAAATTGACAAGTCCCATGTGCTTGTAATTTCTCCAGCACCCTTACCCTTTAAAACTGGAACACAGTAATGCTGACATTACTACTTGACGGCAGAAATAAGTAAGGTGGTAGTACATCACTGGACGAAATCTTTCACAAAGAGCTCTAGTGCTGCTAAAGTTGCGTGTATTGTAAGTTAAAGTGGCACTGACAGCAAAAAAAAACCGTTAAAATCTAATACAATGATTGCAATAAGCACATAACCAAACAATGTATTAAAAATGCAGTATGTATATATATCTGTATTTCTTTTGGAATAAATAACAATACAGCCATATATGACAACTAAACCGGTAACATCTGAAAGTAGAGAATTTCTTACTAGACTAGGAGCACCAAAGCAACTAAACTAACTCCTAACTAACTGTTTTAGAAAATTGCATTCACTGAATTGATTTTACCGATTTCAACGAACTCCGGGCCTCATCGCCTAGCGGCCTCAAAGCACGTTAACAAGCCACATAGATCGTCAAATACAACAAACAAATAGTTCAACAGTACCATATTTTTGCATTTGTCACATGTGACGCTGACAGACAAAAGACACGTTTGACGTTTGAATCATAATTTAAAGATGTTTAATATGTAAACAAAAGGTATAACCGAGTAAAAAATATATTTTAAATGTAGTTTCTCATTTTTGACGATAACAAACGTTTAGGACTCTTTTGCAAGCCATAATCTGATAAAATACGGAACAATTCACACAATCTGGATCTAAAATATTTTTTGTACCGCCATTTTGTCATGTCATTCGTACTTTGTTCCCCGAACCCAATTCCGTTAAAATGCAAGGTTTAGCAGACCTGCATTCACACTTTGACAATGACATTTCTTTCTTTACATTTTGGACATCTAATGACGGTTCATATTATAATACCAAAGGATTTTACTTTAGTAATGTACGCAACTGTGCCCTTACTATGTAGTTCCCTTACAAAAACTACTTCATAAATACTGCCCTCGTAACGAAAAAAGGCACAACTATGCGTACTTTATACTGCAGTTGTGCCTTTTTCGTTCAAAAAAGGAGAATAACATAAAAAGGCTCAACTGACTGTAATTGTGCTCTCTAGTTTTATTATAAGTCAATTATTAAAAGTCTCAATTAAGTAAGTTAACTTAATTTTTATGCCTATTATAATAAATGTCAGTCGTTGGCTAATATGAGATCTATCGGCACTTCAGCCGCCCGCGCGGCCGGCGTGGAGGCGTACCACGTGCTATGCACGCCGAAAACTGCTGTGTGCGTACACATAGGCTTACGGATTGACTCATGGCTGCTCTGTGGGGAGCTCTATGTCAGCAAGTGCGTTCCCTAACGTCCAGTGGTCTTATTTTGTATTGCCAAAATATGTTTGAAAACTGCGACAAGGCAAATCCTCCTCCTCCTCCTCTCTAAAATATGGAAAATTTAATGTGTAAATCCAATATGGAAAACCAAGAGTACCATTTGCTTGGTCATCAATAATTTTGCGTATGTATTTCAATAATCTCGGGTTGTCCGAAACGTCTGACAATCAAATCAAAATAAAATCAAAAGATCTGGAAGGCGGGAGAGGACAACTCCCACTCGGTGTCGGGATTAGTCTTCCTAGATTCTATATCGACGCGATTATCTTATGTATTTACATAATATGCACATATGCATACAAAATTATGTTGTGCTTTTCGCACCATTGCCAAATTGGTTTACTTAAATCGTTAAGGTGGGGGTATTGGATCCCGCCCTTGCGATTTATGTAACTGATCGCCGTACTATTGCGTACTCGCAACATTAAAACACAATCAGATTATACTAATATACGAGGGTCATTTGAAAAGTTCTTAGCCTGACGTATTTAATGAAACCACATGATTTTGATTTTATTTTTATTTTTCAACATACTCTCCCCCGAGCTCAAAACACTTTTTCCATCGACCCGGTAAGGCTTCGATACCTGTTTTAAAAAAATCTTCCTCCAACTCCTCAAAATATGCATCTACTGCGGCTACGACCTCTTCATTTGTATGAAAATGTTTACCACCTAAAAATTTCTTTAGCTTTGGGAATAGATAAAAGTCGGACGGTGCTAAATCCGGCGAATATGGGGGATGAGGTAACAATTCAAAGCCACACTGATGGATTTCTGCCATGGATTGCACAGAGGTGTGAACGCGCGCGTTGTCCTGATGAAACAAGACCTTTCTCCTCAATAAACCTGGACGTTTTTCTTTAATTTCTTCTTTCAAACGACGCAATAGGCTGCAATAATAATCGGAGTTTATTGTTTCACCTTTTTTTAAGTAATCCACCAAAATTATACCCTTTGCATCCCAGAAAACCGATGCCATGACTTTGCCGGCCGACAAAATCACCTTTGCCTTCTTTGGGGTGGGTGATCCTACTCTTTTCCATTGTTTCGACTGTTCTTTTGTCTCAGGTGTATTGTGGTGAACCCAAGTTTCATCCATGGTTACAAATCTTTCAATGAATTCTAGTGGGTCAGCTTCATATAACTCCAAACAGTCGCGGGAAGTTGTGAGTCGGTTGCGTTTTTGTTCCACTGAAAGCAGCCGCGGTACCCACCGCGCAGACACCTTAGAAAATCCAAGGTCAGCAGTAATTATATGGTGTGTTCGCTCAGAAGAGATGCCTATAGTCTTAGCTATCTCCTCGACAGTCAATCTTCGATCAGATAAAATTAAATCACAGATTTTTTCTTTGTTTTCATCGGTGGAAGCAGTTGAAGGCCGGCCACTACGGGGCTCATCTTGAATGGTCTCTCGACCACGTTTGAACTCTGCCACCCAGTTTTTTATAGTCGCATACGAAGGAGCAGACTCACCCAAAGTAGCAGACATGTCTTCATGTATAGCTTTTGGAGTCAAACCTTTCAAATACAAGTATTTGATCACTGCACGATGTTCAATTTTATCCATTTTCAAAAATAGCTCTGACTTGACTTACAGTATTACGTGTTAACGAGCAACGAATAATTGTGACTTAACTAAACTGTGCATACTTGTTACTGAATAATTAAGCTACAAAATGAAGGTAGTTATGAAAAAAATCGATGACCCTAACTATGTCAGGCTAAGAACTTTTCAAATGACCTCGTAATATAAGACTACTGCAATTCATAGTAATTGATATGGTGCTTCTTCTCAACAGCCTTCCGTTGGCCTCCTGTGTTACTCGCGCCACATACGGAATCCCAACTGATGCGCGGTGCATCTGTATAAATTCTAATTTAAAACTTGAGATTCTCATATACGATGAAGTCGAGTAAATATTGTCTGTCGACCAACTCAAATCACTTAGAATTATATCTGGAAGATAAATTTCGTTATCGTGGCTAACTCGCAGTTAACGCCAAAGTAATTTTATTTTAAAAATATACTTTTCTAATTAGCACGTAAATACTACTAATACTACCTACTATACTATTTAAATTAAAATCGACTCGCAGTCGCTTTCGTTATCGTGGTTAACTCGCGGGTAACCCCGACGTAAATTTATTAAAAAAATACTTTACTTATTAGTACGTACAAAGGTATTAATACTGTTTAAATTAAATTCGACTCGCAGTCGATTTCGTTATCGTGGTCAACTCGCAGTTCAACCCGACGAAACCTTATTAAAAAAAATTACTTATTATTAATATTAGCACGTAGGAACTAATATTGTTCAAATTAAAATCGACTTGCAGTCGATTTCATTATCGTATTTAACTCGCGGTTAACTCCGAGGCAGTTTTATTATAAATCATGCAAAATGCACATATTAATATATCCGTTTGGATTTTCATCCACCCATGTTCGATTTGGTTATCGGGGATAACTCGCAGTTAACTCGATGTTTCATAAAATGTAGGTTAGATTCATATTTGCGATGTATGAAAGCCAACATTTATTATAATTGCGGAAGTAGCAAGTAGTGCTATATGATAAAAATGAATATTGTCATTTTTACTTTCAATATTTATGAGCGTAAGAAAAAATCTTGTCTTGATCAACGTCCGACTCGTCCGATGATCTTATGATCCTATAACGCCGACGACGTTTGGCATCTGTATTTTCCAAGTATTTCAGTTTACTTTTATAATATTCGATATTTTCTAAGTTTGTTCGCTTTGACATTTTAACGGAGCTGTGGAGGTGTACTTGTTGCCATGCACGACAAAAGGAATAAGGATAGAAAATGACGGTTCATGCCTGGTAGGGAGTGTCAACGTCAAAACATTTTTTTCTCTAAAAACCGTGCGGTGTTGCCTAGCAAGTTAAGTAAACTACCTGGTTAAATATTATATCGAGAATGAAGCGATGAAATATAATTTAACTTTGACTGACTTATCTCCACATTTTTAATTTACAGCGTGTGTATTTCTTTCTTCCGACAGCAGTATTGCTGAACTCTGCAATCCCAAGTCCGAACTCCTTAAATGAAACGAAAATAATACAATAAAAACATAAAAACCTCTTTCTCAAAAACTTTATCCTAACCCGAGCGAGTTTCTGTAACTACAATGGGGCATTTCTGTAAAGTGTATTCAAACTCGCCTCACGAATAACTTGGAAGGAGTTGGTATCACAATTCCTTAATTAGCCGAGTGGAGATCGCTTCGGGCCATTTATTTCTATTTAAATTGTCAGTCCGACCTGGTGAACTAAGTTCGACCAACAAATTTACTAGCGAACTATGCAACTTGAATAATGTTTAAAGAAACTTTTTCATGTCCGTACTAGTTACATCAGTTATTATGTTCAGTTGTTATCAATTATTTAAATACGTACAATTTTTCATAAAAACTGATAATTTTTCTCATTTTTGACTAGTGTTTTATTTATGCTTTGTTCGCCATTACCTCAGCTAAAGATCTACATGCAGAACACTATTGAAAAATAAGACGACAGGTTACACTGTGCCCACACATTTAAAGTAATAAAAATCTGTAACATATCATGCTACGAAATTAAAAAGACGCGTGTAACTATATATGCCCTTTCGTGCCCTTATGTGCCTGTTATGTGGATCTAAATTGCGTACATATTTTTTTCAAACAAAACCACCGTTACGTGCTATTTACAAGTCCTACGACCATGTCCGTCAGTGACTATGCTGCCGACGTTGTTATAACTAACACATTTGCATTTCGGTAAATTTCCAGTTATTAAGCTTTTGTTGCTTGGAAAAATGTTGATTACCTAGGCTCATTTTGCTTGACAATAAAAACTGAAACTAAATTTGCCTCTGAGTTTTAAGCAGAAAATGCCTTTGATAGTGAATTTAGCTTGCTATATTACTTTCTACGAAAATAAGTCATAAAAAATAGGCTTTCTATTTAGTATTGTTGTGGTTTTAGGCTTTGCAAATTGCAGGCTTATTATAAGCCCCATCATACCAGACAATATCTACGTTTCATTGTTCAGCAGTATTTTAACGATTAAATGCTTAAAGCCCCTGCTAGCTCAGTTTTAGTAGACAACGAATCGAACTTTTGTATTTAAATGATTTAAAAATTTTATAAGTTTAATTTTAATGTTATGTTCCCTAATATAATTATTTGCAAAAAATGCTAGTTCCTTAAACTCTTTTAGTAGCAGTAGAGCTCCTTGTGAAAGAGTTCTTTCAATGAAGTACTGTAACTGTAAGGATTCTGGTGAAATTACAGGCACACGGGAATTCTCACTTTATGGCTCAGGGAGACAGGGCCAGAGGCAAAATCCTTCAGATCTTCAGTCACTGGTGAAAAAAAACATTATGAACCTCTTCTTCCTATCATATCAGTCCTATACACTACAAAACTTGCCATAATGGTGAAAGATTTACCTATCAATGTAAGGTATTGATTGTTGCCCAGGGAAACCTGGCCAGATGTACAGTAAAGCAATGGTACGTGGTGCGGGGAGACTCGTTTCTTGGAGGATAAAGATGCTTGAACACTAACTATTCGCATAGTGTAATAAGACCACACCTGCAAAATGACAACTGCTACCTCAACTACAATTTAAACTTTTCCCGTGCTGATACGGTTCTATTGCGCGGGTGGAGCGGCAGTGTTCCACTGGATTTATTACAGATTTTTTGTTACGCACGAAATTACAACCATTTGAAAAATGTATATCGTATACTATACGTGTTCTGTTTAGTTCAGTTAATATTAAAAAAAAAACACTGGTATATGTAAAATACCTATTGAATGTAGCGGTTTTCTTGTAAAATTTTGAGGTAAGTTTTCTATTGTGAAAATTTTTAGCAATCATATTTTCACACTATATACTAACAAGTGTATATCATTCATCTTATTATATATTTTTTTGAAAGTGATTAATTCAACACTTTCACTGTTATGCGGAATCAACCAAAGCCATTTGAGTTTCTAATGACTTTTAACATCAGGCGCACGACATTTTCGTCCTGTCAATTGTGATCATAAAAAATATACTGAGAAATAAAATTACACACTGTTGGGTGCAGTACTAAGTAATACTTGTCCCTTTTCCCGTTGGGTGGTCGTAATCTTAACAAATGTTAGTTAAACAATGACCCTATTAGGGAAATAATTAGGTATCTTCAGATAGGGGTCAACCCTACGTAAACACTACAGCAGGGGTCAGAAACTTTCGATTATTTGCTTTTGAGTCAATGTAGAAAACTTTTCTATATTGCCGATCCAGGTCGTTGTGGTACCGTTGTTGTATCCATAACACAAGTGCTATAGCTACTTTGGGGTCAAAGCAACGTATATGATGTTGTGTAATATTTCTTAACTCTGAAACAGTTTTTTTATTATACCAAGTGGCGGGATAAACAAGTCGTACGCCTGGTGGTGAGCGACACGCCTGTCCACAGCAGTTACAATGCCACTCAGAGCTTTAATAATAACGCACACACTCAACATAGCCATAGCACATTTAAATCGCAGAGTTGACTAGTGCTGCAACTGCGCCCATCACCCTGAGACACAAGTCCCAAATACCTGTAATTTCATCAGCACCCTTACCTTTCAAAACCGAAACGCAGTAATACTAATATTACTGCTTGGCGGCAGAAATAGGTAAGGTGGCAATACTTCCCTGGACGAACTCTTCACAAGGAGCTCTGCTGCTACTAATCATTATGGAACATTATATAGAATCATAACATTTATGGAATCACTTCGGCGCTCTCTATCCGTATACTTAGAGGGTGGAAATAGTCTAAGATCCTTATACCACACCCGATTTTGACCGGTTTTTTTTTTATATTAATAGGTTTGCCTTCCCATTTAGCCAAGAAAAGGGTTGGGAAAGCAGAATTACGGACTATGGATCACCTGAAAAGTAAAATCATTATTATTGACTGTACGAAAAACGAATCTAAAAAAATTGGTCTTTTTGGGTTCGGAGGAAAGAGACCGCATACCGCAGATCGGTATGCGATCTCTTTCCCGCTTATGGCTGCCGGCTGAAATTTATTGCAATGTTCTGTTGGAATTTTATAATTTATTTTTGTACAATTCGCAGAGTGGATTTTAAAACGAAATCTTCTAAATTGAAAGCTGCACAAAGTAATAATAAGTAAGTAGCTATTATATATATAGTTTATTGCAAACTATTCATTCCAGATGCCTGTGGTCGTGATTAGCCCTACAATATCTTCAATAATATGGAATTTTAAATCATCTATGCTTTAATTATGGGTGCTTTGAATAGTGCATCTGGAGATAATTTCACTACCCTGGTATTCATAGTGTACTTTGAGGACAGGTTATTGGCGTGACTATCTGGTATGCACATAAATAATTTAAAGAAACTTTCAACCATACCTTAATTCATGATGATAGAACCTATAGAATGAAACATAAATACGTATAAGACAACATCACATACGTTGCTACTATCCCAAGTAAGTAACTAAAGCACTTGTGTTATGGAAATCGGAAACAACGATGGTACCA